GATGATGATGATGATGATGATGATGATGGTGGTGCTGGTGGTGCTAGTGGTGGTGGTGGTGGTGACGATGATGATTCTGATGATGCTGATGATGCTGATGATGAGGAGGAGGAGGAGAAGGGAGAGGAGGAAGATGAGGATGAAGAAGAGGATGAGGAATATGAGGAGGAGGATGAGGAGGACGAGGAGGAGGGGAAAATCGAAGAGGCAAAGGAGGACACTGAGAGGGAGGAGGAGGAGGAGGAGGAGGTGGAGGAAGAGGATGAGGAGGAGGAGGAGGAGGAGTGAGAGGAGGGAGAGGAGGAGAGGAGGAAGGAGGAGGAGGAGGAGGAGGAGGGGAGGGGAGGGGGGGGAGGGGGAGGGGAGGAGGGAGAGCAGGGAATGGCTGAGGACGATCCGGAGGATGAGGTGAATTATGATGATGATGCTGAATAAGAAGAATATTGTCATGATGACGAGGATGAGGATGCTGATGATGGTGACGAGGATGCTTATGCTGATGACGATGATGATGATACTGATGCTGACGCTCACGCTGATGATGATGACGACGATGCGGATGGCGATAATTGTGATGATGATAATGATAGTGACGATAAGTATGATGATGCTGCTGCTGTTGATGCTGTTGACGATGCTGCCAGTATTCATGATGATGCTGCTGCTGATGATGCTGCTGCTGATGATGATGATGAGGATGGTGATGATGCGGGTGGTGATGATGACGATTCTGGTGTTGGTGGTAATGACGTTGATGATGATGATGCTGCTGATGGTGACGATTCTGGTGATGACGCTGCTATTGATGATGCTGTTGATGGTTCTGCCAGTGTTGCTGATGGTGCTGCTGATGAGGATCCTGATGCTGATGATTTTGATTATGATGATGGTGGTGATGATGCTGATGCTGATGATGATGCTGCTGCTGATGATGATACTGATGATGCTGATGATGATGTCACGGAAGAGGATGATGATGATGCTGATTATGATGATGATGATGTTGTTGCTGCTGCTGATGATGATGCCGCTGATGGTGATGATGGTGGTGATGATGATGCTGATGCTGATGATGCTGATGATGCTGATGCTGATGATGATGATGCTGATGCTGATGCTGATGCGGGTGATGAGGATGACGATGCTGTTACTGCTGCTGGTGATGCTGCTGCTGATGCTAATGATGATGGTGGTGGTGGTGATGCTGATGCTGATGATGCTGATGATGATGATAATGATGCTGCTGGTGATGCATATTCTGATGATGATGATGACGCTGATAGGAGTGTTGGTGGTGATGATGACGATGCTGATGACGATGCTGCTGATGACGATGATGCTGATGCTGGTGCTGATGCAGATGCTCGTGACGATGCTGATGATGCTGATGAGGATGAAGACGAGGATGCGGATGATGATGATCATGGTGGTGGTGGTGATGAGGATGATGATGATGATGAGGAGAAGGATGAGGATAATGATGATGATGCTGATGCTGCTGCTGATGATGATGCTGATGATGCTGATGCTGCTGATGATGATGGTGATGATGATGATGACGGCGCTGCTGTTGCTGATGACGATGGTGATGATGTGGACGAGGATGCCGACGATGATGATACCACTGTTGATGAGGCGTACGAGTCTGATTACGCTGCTGACGGCGATGCTTCTGGTGTTGGTAATGCTACTCAGACGTGCGACGATTTTGAGGCTCACGCAGCTGCTACAGCTGAACAGTATAACAGTGATAACGGTGCTACCGATTAAGATGCTGATGATGATGTTGATGGATAGTATGCTGATGGTGATGAGGCTGATGCTTCTGATGATGAAGATGCTGCTGCTGATGTTGAATGGGTGATGATGGTGATGATGGTGATGATGATGATGATGATGATGATGATAGTGATGCTGATAATACTGACGATTCTGACGATGCTGACGATTCTGATGATGGTGAATGGGTGACGAGTCTGACGATGCTGATGATAGTGATGATGATGGTGATACTGATTATGCTGATGATCGTGATGATGTTGATGAGGCTGGTGCTGCTGATGAGGTGATGCTGTTGGTGGTGATGGTGATGGTGATGGTGATGCTGGTGATGATGCTGACGACGATGATGATGACGATGCTGCTGCTGCTGCTGCTGATGATGATGATGATGATGATGACGTCGATGATGATGATGATGATGACGATGGTGATGTTGCTGCTGGTGGTTTTGATGATGATGATGATGCTGAGTGTGACGCTGATGATGCTGATGCCGATGATGATTCTAATGTTGACGATGATGCCGCTGATGATGGTGATGTTGATGCAGATGCTGACGATGATGCTGCTGATGATGATGATCATGATAATGGCGATGATGCTGATGATGATGATGAGGATTATGATGATGATGATGATGATGATGGTGATGATGATGATGATGATGATGATGATGATGATGATGATGATGCTGACAATGATGTTGATTAGGATGATACTTACTATGGCGATGAGGAATGCGAATCGTATGATGCTGCTGGCTACGAGGATTATGGTGCTGGTGCTGGCACTGAGACTGGTGACGTTGTTGGGGCTGGCACAGCTGCTACTGCTGATTACGATGCTGATTCTGCTGACGATTAGTATGCTGATGCTAATGATGACGCGGATTATGATGATGCTGATGATGGTGATGCTGATGCTGATGATGATGATGATGGTGACGCTGCTGCTGCTGCTGCTGCTGCTTGGGATGATGCTGCTGATGATGATGCTGCTCATGATGGTGGTGGTGGTGATGATGATGACGAGGGTTATGGTAATCCCGATGCTGCTGCTGCTGATGCTGATCATGCTGATGCTGTTGATGATGGTGGTGCTGATTATGATAATGATGATGTTGATGATGATGAGTGATGCTGATGATTATGATGATGATTAGGATGATGCTGCTGATGATGATGATGATGATGATGATGATGATGATGATGATGATGGTGCCGATGATGATTTTCACCGGACTTATTTGTTGTTTACTGTGTTTTCGGTATTGAGGCTGGTGACGATTAGGATGCCGATGCTGATGCTGATGCCGTTGATGCTGAAGCTGATGCTGATGCTGCTGCTGCTGATGATGCTGATGATGCGGAGGAGGATGAGGAGGATGAGGAGGAGGAGGAAAAAGGGTGGCTGGTTGACGATGGAGTGAGGGTGGTGCTGATAAGGCTGCTGCTGCTGCTGCTTATGTTGATGATGTTGTTGATGATGATGACCAGGATGCCGATGATGACGCTGATTATGATGATGATGATGGTGATGATGATGATGATGATGATGATGATGGTGATGCGAATGATGATGATGATGCTGATGATGATGATGCTGACGCCGATGCCGATGCTGATGATGATGATGACGCTGATCATGCTGATGATGATGATGCTGATGATGAGGATTTGGATGCGGATGTGGCTGCGGATCAGGATGCCGATGCTGCTGATGATGATGATGTTGCTGCTGCTGCTGATGATGATGATGATGAGGATGATGATGCTGATGATGCTGATGATAATGATGGTGATGATGATGTTGCTGCTGCTGCTGATGATGATGATGATGATGACGCTGCTGCCGCTGCTGCTGATAACGATGCTGATGATGCTGATTAGGATGATGAGGATGCTGCTGCTGATGATGCTGCTGATGATGATGCTGATGATGCTGATGATGATGATGACGCTGACGCTGATGATGATGATGACGATGATTTTGTTGTTGATGATGATGACGACGATGATGATGATTGAGGATGCTGACGATGATTACGATGATGGTGACGATACTGCTGATGATGTTGCTGATGGTGTTGATAATGATGATGCTGCTGCTGATGATGATTATGACTATGATGATGATGATGATGATGATGATGATGATGCTGATGATGATGATGATGATGATGATGATGATGATCATGACGATGCTGCTGATGATGATGATGGTGATGATGCTGATGATGATGATGATGATGATGATGATGTTGATGTTGATGTTGATGTCGTTGTTTGTGGTGATTGTGATGATGATGCTGGTACTGTTGATGATGCTGATGATGCTGCTGCTGAGGATGAGACTGATGATGCTTATGCTGATGACGATGATGATGATGATGATGATGATGATGATGATGATGTTGTTGCTGCTGGTGATGCTGCTGATGATGATGATGATGAGGAGGAGGAGGATGAGGAGGAGGAGGAGGAGGAAGAGGGGGATGAGCATGAGGATGATGATACTGCCGATCATGAGGAGGAAGAGGAATCTGAGGAGGAGGAGGAGGAGGAGGAGGAGGAGGAGGAGGAGGATGGGAAACAGGGTGAGGGGAGGAGCGCGTTGGTTCACACAACGACAACCTTCGGCTTTTCGGGAACTCCTCCCCCGCCTCGAGGGCAGACCTGCTGCTGCTGCGGGTCTCTCTCCTTGTCCTCCTCCCTCCTCCCTTCTCCCTCGTCTTCCTCTTCCTCCTCGTCCTCCTCCCACCCTCCTCTCTCCTCTATCTCCACCTCCACCTCCTCCTCCTCTTCCCCAATGCTGCTCCTAGTTCCCTTTCTGTTTCTCTGCTCCCCCATCCGCCGCGTCCTTATCCTCATCCTCCCCTTCTCCGTTTCCTCCCTCCCTCCCTCCCTTCCTTCTTCCCTCCTCACTCCCTCCTCTCTGCTGCTGCTGCTGCTCCTCCTCCTCCTCCTCCTTCTCCTCTTCCTTCGTCCACCCCCCCACCTTCCACCTCCTTCGTCTTCACTCCTGCTGCTGCTGCTGCTGCTCCTCTCCCTCCCTCCTTTGCTCCTCATCCTCTTCCTCTCCTTCCCTCCCTCCCTCCCTCTCTATCCCTCCCTCCCTCTCCATCCCTCCGTGTTTTCCTCTGCCCCGTCTTCCCACTTCGTCACCTCCCTCCGTCCTCGTCCTCCTCCTCTGCCTCTCCTCATCCTTCTCCGCCAACTTCTCCTCCTTCTCCTCCTCACGCTCCTCCTCATGCTCCTCCCTATTCCCCTTCGTCCCTTTCTCTCTTCTCCTCCCACTTCCCCATTCTTCTCCCCCTCCACCCTTCCTGCTCCTCTTGCTCCTCCTCCTCCTCCTCCTCCTCGTCTCCGTCCTCGTCCTCGTTGTCTGAAGCGCGCGCTGACACGCGAGACTCCCGCCCGAGGCCGAGGTCACCTGTGGGGGCGTCGGCTGCGAATCGCTGTCGCCCGAGAGCATGGAGGCCAAGGCGAGACCGGGGCTCTTCCGCCCTCCTCGCTCTCCCCCCTCCAGGTGCAACGATAGGGGGGATGGGCTCCGGGGGCGATTCATCCACTTCCTATCGCCCGCCCGATCGCCGGCAGAGGCCTGATAGCCCCAGCCCGCCCAAGGAAGTGCGGATTCGGCATCGGGGGCCTATCGCCAAAGTATCGGCGATGTCTCGCCGATTCCAGGTCAATGTTCCCCCCCCTGAGCCAGTCCCTTCCTATCGTTGCCCGTCGTCCCTCTCTCCTCCTTGTCCTCGTCCTCCCTCCTCTTCCTTCTCCCCTCCCCCCTCCCTCCTGTTGCCCCGTCCTCCTCTGTCACCCGCCGCGCGTTCCACACTTGCACACTTGCGCCAGAGTCGGGCACCCCATCGGTGCCACTGTTGTGCACCCGCCGAGGCCGGCAGACATCTTGCGGCCGCTGCTCCTTCTCCCGACGTGCCGCTGCGAGTGCAGGAGGGTGAGGTGGGAGGAGCGAGCGTGAGGCGAGAGGCCGGGCGAGGCAGGCGCAAAGGAGGAGGAGGAGGAGGAGGAGGAGGAGGAGGAGGAGGAGGAGGAGGAGGAGAAGAGGGAGGAGGATGAAGATACACCGCCGTTGGCGACGACTGGGCAACCTTGCCCTCTATGCCTCTGCTTCTTTCGCTCCCCTTTTCGCCCACCTTTGACCTGTCTCGTACAGCAATCCTGCTTCGAACACTGCAGACACCGTTGTCCCACAGGATTGTGCGTAGGATGATGAGGACGAGGAGGGAGAAGATAAGAGTGCGGCTGGCGACAGCTTCTGTGCCCCCAGACCCCTCGGGATCACTACACCAAGCCCTGCCTATCAGAAGGGAAACGCAATCTGCAGGACTACACGAGGAGGAGGAGGAGGAGGAGGATGAGAGGGAGGAGGACCAGGAGCAGAAGTAGGAGGAGGAAGAGGAGGAAGAGGAGGCGGAGGAGTTGGAGGAGGAGGAGGAGGAGGAGCTGAGGAGGAGGAGGAGGAGGAGGAGGATTATGGAGGAGGATGAGGATGAGGAGGAGAGGAGGAGGAGGAGGAGGAGGAGAGGAGTGGAGGTGGAGGTGGAGGTGGAGGTGGAGGTGGAGGTGGAGGTGGAGGTGAAGGTGGAGGAGGAGGAGGCGGAGGAGGAGGAAGAGGAGGAGGTAGAGGGGGAATAATAATAATAACAACCATAAGCCCATTCATAAGGCACATGATACTATTCAGCATACTACGTACGAGGAGGACGAGGACGAGGACGAGGACGAGGACGAGGCCGAGGAGGAGGAGGATGAGGAGGAGCTGGAGGCGGAGGCGGATCGGAGGCGGAGGAGGAGGCGGAGGCGGAGGCGGAAGCGGAGGATGAGGATGAGCAGGAGAAGGAGGATGAGAAGGATGAGGACGAGGATGAGGACAAGGAGGAGGAGGAAGGGCGGAGGGAGACAAAGAGAAGGATGAGGAGAAGGAGGAGGAGGAAGAGGAGGATGCGGAGGAGGAGGAGGAGGAGGAGTTGGAGGAGGAAGGGGAAGCTGATGATGATGATGATGATGATGATGATGCTGATGCGGATGATGATGATGATGATGAGGATGATGATGATGATGATGCTGATGATGATGATGATGATGATGATGACGATGATGCTGCTGCTGCTGATGATGATGATCATGATGATGATGATGATGCTGATGCTGCTGATGATGATGACGATGATGCTGCTGATGATGCTGGTGCTGCTGATGATGATGATGCTGATTCTGATGACGATGCTGCTGATGATGATGCTGATGATGACGATGATGATGCTGCTGATGATGATGACGATGATGCTGATGATGATGCTGTTGAAGATGATGATGATGATGCTGGTGATGATGATGCTGATGATGATGATGGTGATGATGATGATGGTGATGATGATGCTGATGCTGATGATGATGATGCTGATGATTATGATGATGTTGCTGATGATGATGCTGATGATGCTGATACTGATGATGAGGATGAGGATGAAGATGATGATGATGATGATGATGATGATGATGATGATGATGATGATGATGATGATGATGATGATGATGATGATGAGGAGGAGGAGGAGGAGGAGGAGGAGGAGGAGGAACAGGTGGAGGTGGAGGAGGATGTCTACTAACAATAACAGCATATTCTTACGAACCGTACGACTATTCAGCATACTATGAGAAGGACGCGGAGGATGATGATGAGGATGATGATGACGATGATGAGGAGGAGGTGGAGGAGGAGGAGGAAGAGGAGGAGGAGGAGGAGGAGGAGGAGGAGGAGGAGGAGGAGGAGGAGGAGGAGGAGGGAGGGGGAGGAGGACCAAGAGCAGAAGTAGGAGGAGGAAGAGGAGAAGGAGGAGGAGGAGGAGGAGGAGGAGGAGCAGGAGCAGGATGAGGAAGAGAAGAAGGAGGAGGAGGAGGAGGAGCAGGTGGAGGAGGAGGATGAGGAGGGGTTGGCGGCGGAGGAGGAGGAGGAGGCGGCGGAAGAACGCAGCGCACGGGCGCGGACAAAGAGAGTGAGAGGGGGGGGGCAGCCGGCAGCGCAAGCAGACAGGCTCGACGGGGCGGGCAAGGAGCTCGACGGGGCGGGCAGGGAGCGGGCGGGGGCTCGTCGTCTTCGCGTGGTCGACGGTCGCCGCGGCGGCGGGGTCAGGGGCAGCTGGGTGGCCGTTGACGCAGCGTCCCTCGCGCGAGCTCCTCCTCCTTCCTCTCTCTCTCTCCTGCTCATCCCGCTCCTTTCCTCTCCTTCTCCTTGTGCCTCCTTTTCTCTCCGTGGCCCTGTGTCCTCCTCCGCCTCCTCCTCATGTTTCTCCCCTCCTCGTCTGCCCTTCCTCTGGTTGCCGCTGCTTCTCCCCTTCCTGCGTCCCTGTCCTGCTGCTGCTGATCCTCCTCCTCCTCCCAGGAGTGGCCAGGCCTCTTCTTTGTCGGCGAGTCGGTGGACGTGACTGCCGGGAGCGCGGACCAAACGGAGGATGAGTAGGGAGAGGGGGATCAAGAGGAGGAGGAGGAGGAAGTCTGATGATGATGATGATGATGATGATGATGATGATGATGATGATGCTGATGCTGATGATGATGATGATGATGATGATGATGATGATGACGATGATGCTGATGATGAGGAGGAGGATGAGGAGGAGCAGTAGCAGCAGGAGGAGTATGAGCAGGAGGAGGGTATGACTGGGAGGAGGAGTAGGAGGAGAAGGAGGAGGAGGAGGAGGAGGGCAGGGGCGGGAGCAGGAAGGGCATTAGGAAGATGATGCTGGTGGTGGCCGGTGGCGGGATAATGATGAGGATGAGGAGCAGCAGGAGAATGAGTCCGTGGAGGTGACTGCCAGGAGTACCCATCGGTTCCTCAGCGGTTGCCGGAGCAAAGTCCTGCCTCGTGAACCCTGATGATGGTTCTGATGCTGATGCTGATGCTGATGTTGATGGTGATGGTGATGATGATGATGTTGATGCTGCTGCTGATGATGATGATGACGATGATAATGATGATGACGGTGACCTCGACGGTGAGGACGATCACGCTGATGCCGACGACGACGATGAGGACTATGATGATGATGATGATGATGATGATGATGATGATGAAGATGGTAATGGTATTGGTGGTGATGGTGATATTGTTGATGATAGTGGTGATGCTGATGATGGTGATGATGATGACGGTGACGGTGGCCGCGACGACGGTGATGCTTGATGACCATGTCGATGACCATGATGAAGCTGATTACGATACTGATTATGATGATGATGATGATGATGATGATGATGATGATGATGATGATGATGATAAAGATGACGATGCTGATGATATTGGGGATGCTGAGGATGATGCTGATGGCGCTGACGAAGGCCATCACGATGGGTTTTTGATGCTGCTTCTGATGATGATGGTGGCGATGACGATACTGCTGCTGCTGATGTTGCTGACGTTGACGATGATGATTTTGGTGATGCTGGTGATGATGGTGATGACGGTGATGACGATCACGATGATGGTGATGGTGATGATGATGCTGATGATGATGATGATGATGGTGATGACGCGATGGTCATGATGACGCTGATGATGACGCTGATGATCACGGTGACTTTGACAGTGCTGACGATCACGATGACGACGATGACGACGACGATGATGACGATGATGATGATCATGACGATGATGATGATGCTGATGACGATGATGATGGTGCTGATGCTGATGCTGATGCTGATGCTGATGATGATGTTGATGATGGCGATGCTGATGCTGATGACGACTATGCTGATGATGCTGATGATGATGATGCTGATCATGATGACGGTGACCCTAACGGTGACGATCACGCTGGTGACGTTGATGATGATGGTGCTGCTGCTGATGATGATGGTAATGATGATGATGATGTTGTCGTTGGTGGTGGTCATTGTGATGATGATGTTGACGGTGGTCGTGACGATGACGATGATGGTAATGCTGATGCTGCTGATGATGCCGATGATGCTAATGATGATGATGCTGATGACGATGACGATGATGCTGATGCTGATGCTGATGATGCTGATGATGGTATGGTATTGGTGCTGGTGATGATGACGATGAGGGTGTCGATGCTGATGATGCTGATGATGATGCTGCTGGCGATGATGATTCTGATAGAGACAATGATGATGCTGATGATGCTGATGATGATGCTGATAATGATGATGATGCTGATGATGGTGATGATGATGATGGTGATGATGCTGATGCTGATGCTGATGCTGATGCTGATGATGCTGATAATGATGATGATGATGATGATGATGAGGATGGTGATGATGCTGATGATGATGAGTTAATGATAGTGCTGATGCTGATGCTGATGCTGCTGCTGCTGCTGCTGATGATGATGATGCTGATGATGATGATGATGATGATGATGGTGCTGATGCTGCTGCTGCTGATGATGATGAAGCCGGTGACCTTGACAGTGAGGACGATCACGCTGGTGACGACGACGACGATCGAGCTGCGCGGCGCTTAGGTGAGTTCAGCGTTTCGCCTGCTCTCGCGCTGCCGCTCTGCTGGTGTCGCTTTCATGCGACTCGGCGAACGCACCGTGCGCCGCGCCCGCGCGGGAACGCAAGTTCGGAGCTTGGGCGAGCGCCCGCTCGCGCGGGCCCTTCAACATTGGCGAGTGAAGCGCATGCGACGCGCCGAGGCGGGAGTGCCACTTCAAGCAAAATCTGCTCGGCGTCGAGGTGAGAGCGGTATTTGCGTCCGCTCGCGCGACGACGAAGTTGCGTGCGAAAAAAGGTCAATTCTATAGAACATAGGCGCGGTGCCGAGGCGAGAATGACATTTCAGCCTTTCGTGCGGGATGTGTGCTCCGTCCCGTTCACGCCGCGCAGTTTGTAAGATGGACGACATGATAATGTCCACGTTGAAAGCGAATATGTATAATCTGTAATGACATTCGCAAGTAGGGTGGTAGGTCCCAGATTGGCTGGCAATCGGCTGGTTTAGTGGCAGAGTCGGAGTATACACGGATAAAGGATAAGGGTAGGTGTCAAGTTCGTTAGTTTGAGTGAGTAAGTGTGCGTGTCCTATTTCCACCCTCCTTCCCCTGACACAACATTCAAGTGTGGCAGAAGTTGATATTGGGATTGGATCAAGTTGCCACCCGGCGAGCGGAAGGCGCTCGCGCGCGGCGCCGCTGCCAACGATTCGGCGAAGGGAAAGTTTCATGGGTCTCGCAGGGGCGGGGACAACAACGCTTCCGCTGTGCGCGGGGAAGGCGCAACATGTGCTGCGCTGACACAGTTTTCTTACGAGCTGCGCGGCGCTTGGGCCAGTTTGGCGTTTCGCCCCCTCTCGCGCGGCCCCTCTGCCGCTGTCGCCTTCATGCGATTCGGCGACCGAACCACTTCCGAGCGCACGGAACACCCGGGCACCCGGGCACCCGGGCACCTGGGCACCTGGGCACCTGGGCGTGCCGCCGAAATCGGCGCCAAACCTCACCTAACCGTATGAGTCCGCTAGTACCCTTGCAGAGGCAAACTCTGATTTGGGCTTATACGTGTGTGCACGTGTCTGTACGCATACATATATACACCTATATATATATATATATATATATATATATATATAATATATATATATATATATATATATTTTGATTGTTATATCTTTCGCTTCGTTCAGGCCCGCCTCTGTCAGCTTGCCTGTCTGTAACTATTTCGCTCAAGTCTTGAGGGCTGATGTGGCAGCAGCGTCTCCAAGATTTAGCTGTCAACGGCCTGCTTTCATACCTCAGCAGGTGCCCAGCAGCTCCTCCTTGTCCCGCGGTGCCAGCCTGCCCCGCGTCAGCCGCTGTCACTTGCGGGTCGTGCCCGCCTTGCCCAGGCTGCCCTGCTTTGAGCTGTGGGAGGCAGCCCGAGGCGACCGAGTGCCCGTCGGCGGCACCTTCGACCCCGTGCGCCTGGGCTTTCTGGCTGACGGTGGGCATTCCCATCGGCGTTGTGGTGAGTTGGGCCGCGGTGCTGGCCTTTGGAGTCCTTCGGGGGTTGCTCAGCCGCGTTCGTGAAGTGCTTGGTGGCTCGTCGGACTCGGCTCCCTCAGTGACTGTCGGTTCGCACAATGGACACGTTGGACATCCCAGAACCCCAAGTACTCGTGCACTATCCCAATGATGAGGGAGGCATGTTCTGGCATCACCGTATTCTTGTGAAGAAGATCACAGCGGGGGTGTGGATAGCGATCGCCCCCGACCTGGAGCTCGTGCGTCACAACCTCTTGGAGCAGCGCCACCTGGTCCTGGACCGCAATTCGATGTTCCTTGCGAATCGCCGAGGCGAGGTTTACGGCTTCGATCCTGTGCCTCGAGCTGAGATTCTGGCTCTGAAGAGGCAAGCCGCAGTTCAGGCGGCAATTTTGGGCGACGGCGACCATGACGTCGAGATGGAGAATTTCGTTTGGGTCGTCGCGGAGGTAGGTCACTCTCGGTTTGCCCAGCCCCTGGTCGATGCAGAGTTAGACCAGGCTACTTTGGGCCAGTCCAAGGGCGTGGCGCTGGTGAGCGGCCTTGAGGTGTTTGTGGAGAAGGTTCAGAGCAACCAGCTACAGGAGTGGATGGCTTCGCGCAGCTCGGAGGGAGGAGACCTCCGCGCCTTGGGTGACCATCGGGACTCCGCAGGCCGCCGTCATCTTCCGCTTTCGGACGCTGTATCCCTGATGCGCGAGACGAGCTTCGACGATTGGGCCATGCCTGGGCCGCGAGTTGCTAAGGAGTGGCTCGTTTCAGTTCGGGATGGCCCTGGAGATCTTTCTTCTTATCACGGACAGTGGGTTCGCCGTTCGGGAGTCAGCGAGTCCTCGGCGGTGGCCCACATTCATTATGTGCTGTGCGAGTCGGTTCGGTTGGCCATTCAGACAGACCAGCTCGATGTGACAAACTTGTTGAGCTCCGAACTCATCGTGCGCAGGATCTGCCAGGACGAGACCGCAGTGGCTCGCAACCGAGAAGGGGAGCAAGGGCGAGGAGGAGGCCCCGGGGTGACCGCGGCCTTGCGGGCCGAGTCTGATCCCCGAGCTCGGCCCGACGCTTCTGCTACGGATCGGGGACATGCTACCCGGTGGGGGCCCTCAAGACGGAGGCACGGGGACCCTTTCCCTCTGCCGCATTTTTTGCCCTCTCAGCTCGACAGCTCGGGTTTGGGCCTCGAGCAGCGACAGCGAGCGCTCTCGGCGCGGGCTTCGCTCAACCATCTCGCTGCTGCTCAACCGAATTCAGATAGTGTTTACCAGGCTCGCCAGTCATCTCGGGCCCCGACTGCCGTTCAGGAATGGATCTTGGACAGCATCACGGAGCGCGTTGCCGCTGTGGGCCCCCCCCCGCCTGGCCTGACGGCCGAGGGGGCCGCTCGCGAGTTGCTGGCTTCTAAGGACCTGTGCTGCCAGGAGCCGAAGAACCTCGCGCCGTTCGATCTGACAAAGCTCAAGGTCGCAAAGGGGCGCGCCCGACCTCGCTCTGCGGCTAACTTCTTGCCGCCTTTGCCCGCGGACATGATCCGCAACCCTGCGCTGTGCATCGAGAAGGATGAGGGGGGATGGAGTTCATGCGCCAGCACACCGATCCTATTCGTCCTTACTGGGATCCCGTGCTTCGCTCGAGTCGGACAGAGCGTTGGCGACTCTTCAGGGTGCTGTATGAGCTGGGGCTGATAACTTTCCGGCGTCGACTCCGAGCTCGCGCTGCCCTTTTCTTTGTGAAGAAAAAGAAACCAGGTGAGGTTAGAATGATTGTGGATGCTAGACAGGCCAATTCGTGTCATCGTGCCCCTCCGATTTCAAGACTAGGTTCAGCTGGGGCCCTGGCGGACCTCGACCTCTCCGTGGGTGGCGAGTCCGTCGACGGTGTCGGCAGTGTGATAGGCTGGGGCCCCCGCGGGAACGAGGCCGATGTCGAGGACTGCTTCTACAACTTCGCCATCGATGGCCTGGCGGAGTGGTTCGGTTTCGACGACCCGCTGCCCGCCGCCGAGATCAGGGACACGTACGGCATCAATGTCGGAGCGTTCTGGGACCCCGAGCTGAGCATGATGGTCTCCGTGGAAGACGACATGGTATTGTACCCGTGCATGCGCGCTATGTGCATGGGGTGGTCCTGGGCTCTGTACTTTGCGCAGGAGGCCGTATCCGCCATGACAGAGCGGGCGCTGCGCTCGTCGTCTCTACCGACGCCTGCCATGGTGAAGGAGCACCATCCCGCCCCCGACTTGAATGAGTCCAAGGTCATGGGCAGCGTCTACGTGGACAACATCACTGTCTTCGGCAGGGACGCCTCTCTGGCTCGTGAGGCAAGCTCCGCCCTGCAGGCTGAAGCTGACCGATCTGATTTGCCTATCGCGTGGTCCTATCCTGATGTGGTGACCCGCCTCGAGACCGTGGGTGTTGAGATCGACCTCAAGAGGGGGAGGCTTCGCAACAAGGCCTCCCGAGTGTGGCGCTTTGACTTGGCCACCCGCGCTCTCCTGCGTCGTGGCAAGATGCGAGGGGGGCACATGGAGGTCTGGCTGGGCCACGCTGTATCGCTGCTGATGCTGGCCATGCCTGGGTGCGCCGCGCTCTCAGCCACGTGCCGGTTCGCCGAGGCCGCCTGGGGTGTTCGGGCCCCTTTGCCGCGCGAGGTCATGCACGAGATGAGGTTGGTCGCTGGGCTGGTCTGGCTCGCTGAGGTCGACCTGGCTGCGCCCTACGTGCCGCGCGTCTATGCCAGCGACTCCGCCGACAACGGGTACGGCCTGATGTACAAGAGGGCCTCGGTCGAGGAGATGCAGTCGGCCTTCCGCTGGAAGGAGAAGTGGAGCTTCCGGCAGAACCTCCGAGGCCCCCGCGTTGGTCTGACTTCGGCCGCTGATGTCGCTGAGATGGGCGGCTACAAGGAGGCGGACGAGGCGCAGCTGGATCACGAGGCGGAGCTCCGTTGCCGCTCCGCCGAGCCGAACGCTGGCTCCGCCCCTGCCGCGGCCTTCGGCCAGTGGCTGCAGAGCAAGGCGGAGGAGGGCTCTGCCTCCGACAGACCTCACCGGCCTCGCCCTCGCCGTCTGCGGCGGCGCCCAGCCGACCCTGAGGATCCCGACGCCGAGTGCCTCGGTCAGGTGGGCCCCCTGGCGCCGCCGCTGCCCGCCTCCTGGTTCGACTCGGAGGGCTTCGAGCTGGTGGCGGCGAGGCGCTGGCGCTGGCCTGGAGAGCACATCAATGTGAAGGAGACCCGCGCTGCTGTGATGGGGCTGCGGCATGCCTGTCGCGTTCGCCAGAATTGCGGACGCCGCCTAGTTTCTCTCGTGGATTACATGGTATGTGTTGGCTGCCTGGACAAAGGGCGGTCCAGCCGCTCAGCAGCTTTGAGCGCGCGGTGCCGGCGAGCTGCGGCCTACGCAATCGGTTGTAGAGTGCGTTGGAGGCTGCGGTATGTCAACGCGAAGTTTAACGTGGCCGACGCTCCATCTCGTCGGTTCGAGCATAATTCCCCCGACAAAGGATGCAACAGACAGAGTTCGACAGACATGACATCATCTTCTCCCTCTTACTTCCCTTTGAACGCTGTAGTCAAGACGGGCAGCCTGCCCCCCTGGACTCGGTCTCGCAGGGCGCCCGCCCGCCGCGGCCGAGAGCGACAAGCATCTGGGTTTGCAGCCTCCCGAGGAAATCGAAGCCTCTCTGCGTCGAGCGTCCTGTCCGTCTTCTACTCCAGCACCTTCGGTGACCAGTCGGACCGCCTGTCCCCCTCTACGTCTTGGGCGCGCTCAGCTTCGGAGACGGGCCCAGCAGGGCCAGGGTTTCTTGGAGCTGTTCTCGGGCGAGGGTGGGCTCTCCAAGGCGTTCGAGGAGCTCGGCCTGCCAACTGACCCCTGCGTGGACATCAAAGATGGGGCTCACCATGACCTCCTGGGCCCGAAGGTCCAGAACATCATCCTAGAGGACATCCGAAAGGGGCGCTTCTGGTATGTACATCTTGGGACGCCTTGTTGCGTGTGGTCTCGGGCTCGTCACGGCATCGCCAACTATGAGAAAGCCGCGTGCAAGGAGCGTGTGGGTGTAGCTCTCGCCTTGTTCAGCTGCCGTGTTGCTTATGAGTGTTCGCGGAACGGCGTCTTCTGGAGCATTGAGAATCCGAGATCTTCCAGACTTTGGGACTTCGACCCCGTTCGAGAGCTCACTGACCTTCCTGACGTTGTTCGCGTGTGTTTGGTACACTGTAGTTACGGGGCCTCACGCATGAAGCCGACAGCGATTCTCACTAACCTTTCAGCCCTGAGTTCCTTGGCTTCGGTGTGCTCCAGAGATCATTCACATGTTGAGCTCAGGGGTTTCGAGACCGTGACGTTGCCATCTGGGGCTCGTGTTTCTCGCAATCGTACGGCAGGCGCTGGGGCCCACCCCCGCAGTCTTTGCCAGGCATGGGCCCTGGCCGCAGGCATGTCAGCGCCCGCGGGGGCCCGGGGCGGCTCAGGCGCACCTGGCGGCGGGGGCCTGGAGGCCCAGCTTCGCGATGCTGCGCGACGGCCGGCTTCGCGCGCCCGCGAGCGCCTCCGACCAGCTCGGCAGCGGCTTCAAGCGGAGCCTGACCTCGGGCTCGCTGGCGCCGCCGACTCAGGCGATCTCGAGAGCAGGTTTGACCACCTGCGGCCTTTCATCGTCTTCGGTCAGGACTCCAACCTCGAGGCAGCAAGGAAACAGGCAGCCCGCTCGAGGAAAGGCCCGAAAGGTCGCTGGCCGCCGCTCCCGCGTCTCTAGTTTCGTGGAGGCAATCGAGGGCCGCAACCTGAGCTTCGGGCCGAAGGCGCCAGTCCCTGTGGATGGAGGTGTCGCCCGTTTTGGCTCAATCACCTCGACGTCGCTCGAGCGAGTTTTTCGACTGGGCGACGCGCTCAGATGACCTCAGACAAGCTCCAGAGTCCGTTATCGATCAGAAAATGTGCAAGTACTTCGATGTTATCATGAGTGACGCTCGGCATGCCGCTGAAGGGCGGTACACACTCTGGGGGTATCTGACTTTCTTCCCGCGGTCGGACATCGTCAAATCCGCCCGGCTCGCGATGGCTCGTGAGGCGATGAAGGGCTGGGTCCGCAGGTTCCCTGGCTCCTCGCGACATCCGTGGCCGCTCTCGGTTTTCTACTTGTTCATGAGTGTCTTTCTGAAGGACAATCACACCGAGGCTGCCGTCGCCCTGGCCATCCAACTCGATGCCTACCTGAGACCTTCAGAGATATGCGAACTGCGGTGGTGCTCCGTGGTCCAGCCTTCGAAGCTCTCATCATCATTGTCAAGAAACAAGTGGGCTGTTGTCATTGGTAACTCAGACCTCGGTGAGACCACGAAGACTGGCGAGAGTGATGACACTGTGGTTCTCGATTCTATCGGCCGCGAGTGGGTAGGTTCCGTGCTTGAGATGTGGGCTAGGCGCCGTAAGTCTGACGCCTGTTCTGATCAGCTAGTCTTCCCGCACCTGTCTCTAGCCAAGTATGAAGCACTTTTTAGGAAATACAGTCGCTCTGTTCTCGGCAAGGTAGGGCACCTCACTCCCCACGTGGCCCGTCATTCAGCGCCTAGTCACGACGTGCTGGTGCGCGCTTGCAGTCTAGCAGTTGTTCAGAAGCGCGGGCGCTGGGCCCGCGCCAAGTCCGTGAAACGATACGAGAAGAGCGGCCGCCTTCTTCTCCAGGCCGCCCGTCTTCC